CCTATCTGTCTAGGGAGTGCCAAATGGACATCTGGACTGCATTCCTAAGGAGTCAGGAGTAAGTGACTCATATCTCACCTTGATCAACCAATCAGGTACTGGCAGGGCGTGGTTACACCACGTGGTTCTCCAATGCCACCCAAACTCTCAACCAATCAGCACACATCTGTGTCTTGGTCAAAACGGGAGCGCAAGCTCAGGCTCTCCTTGGCCATTTTTGCGCATCCTCAGAGACAATCACGTGACAACTGCTGTTGTCTGCACTGGGACTTAGACTTTATTCTAAGCACAAGGCCGAGGATCCCGTACGTACTCAGAATTCTACCAACGTGAATGCTCCGCTTGATCAACGGCAGCCTACAGTTGGACCCTCGTCGACAACCTGAATAGCTTATTCAGAAGCAGCGCTGGAACGGGAATGAACCAGCTTCTTCCCGGGCAAAAGAGTGACTTATGAGGACTTGCGGTCACACTGTGTGCATAGAGACTTTCTACTAGCCAGCCAGACTGCTGGTAGCAATGACTGCCCTGCGCGCCACAGTTAGATTCCTCTGCCTGTCCTACTCTGAGCTGCACCTCGACTGGTTGGCCGGTAGCCAGAGGATGCCGGGACAACGCCCATTGGACAACCGCTGGAACAGAGGCTGCAACACAGCCTGTCAGCTGGTTTGGTGTTCGTGCCGGGAAATTCCAAATCCATACACAGTGGATAAGTAAACCCCATGTTCTACATTGCGATAATTCAATTGTACCTCAACACAAGTTGTTATCAATTTAATTCATGAGTAATGTATTTACTACCGAGTTTAGAGTAACAGTGGGTAATAACACTGATTAGCGATTTGGTAACTGAACTATATATATTGACATATATTCTCTGTTGTGTATCTCTCTGTGTTTGCATCTTTTCGAGATTATATACCTTGTATATTGATAACCCTCACAGTAAGGTCTGCCGCTTGTATCCAGGCAGACTAGTATACGTTTGGTGCACAATTTATGTTAATAAATGTATCTCGTGTATTGAACCCGTGTGTGTGCGTTGTTAGTTGTTCTGACGATTGATTTTCTAAAAGCCACAAGGAACCACCTCGTGATTACTGCTACAATTAATAATTGTCTCAGTAAAACCATCAAACCACTAAAACCCCCACAACTCCTTGAATGATCTGTTATGTTTTGAATGATCTATCAAATTAATCAATAATGTAGAATGAAAGTTGTTGGATTGTTTTTACAGGACATTTAAATGGAAACTGAAATGTTTTGATCTTATAACTACTCCCTTTGCTATGAAACTCCAAATTTACCCCAGGTGCATCTAAATTTCCTTGTGAGATCACTCAGAATCCACCTGTGGTCAGTCCAATTGCTTGATGTCAGCAGAACCTGAACAACTGGACAATAAGGACCTTAGACTCACTACCCTGACAGAACTACAGAGTTCCATGGCAGGGTTCCATGAGACCAGGGAACATGTCCAAGAACAACAATCTCTTCAGCACTACCCATATTAAGCCTCTATGATGGATGCTAGACAGAAACTAGTCAATTAGCGTGCCTGAAGTTTGCAAGTAGGCACATAACAGACCCTGAGACCGTGTGGCAAAAATTCTATGGGCTGATGAAATAAAGAAAATGAGCTGTATGGGCTGATGAAATAAAAAAATGACAAGGGTACAGGTCATCACCCATGTAAACTATAAATGGCAGTATATTACGGGTATCGTTTTCAGTGGTAGGAACTGGTTCACTTGTCAGGATAGTGGTCATAATAAATGGAGCCAAATTCAGGCAACAATGCTTCCCATCCAGCCTGACAGAGCTTGAACAAATTTGCACGGAAGAATGAGAGAAAATCCCCAAATCCAGATGCGCAAAACTGATACAGACATACCTAAGAAGACCCAAAGCTGCAACTGCTGCAGAAGGTACTTCTACAAAATTTGACTCAGTGTGGCGAATACTTCAGGAAACAAAATATTTCCCCGTTTCATTTTTCAGAAATTTAAAATTTTGTGCTTAAACTTAAATTTAAAAAAAAATGTTACGTGCTATTTGAATGAAGGGAAAAAATAATTTCAATGCATTAAAAATTGGATGTAACACAATATTTACATTGCTCTGGGGGTAGATATTTACTGAAGGCAGTATAAGTTAGATAAAAATGGGTCATGACAGTACAAGGAAGAAAAGAAAATTTAAACACAAAAAATAAATTGTCCGTTTTACACTTTCATTCAATTTTGCATTTTATGGTATGCAGGATACATTTTATTTAATGCATTATTTCTATAAAAATGCAAGAGATGAAAACAAAGCTATTGAAGCATTAAAGGAATCAAACCAGCCTCTTTACTCAAATCCCTGATCTAAAATTAAAAATCAAAATAACATTCGGCACAATAAATTTAGCCTTTTGATTTAGCCATTTAATTTCTAAAATTTGAAATGCAAAAATCACATCAATTGATATCTCCTTCACATGTTCCTGCTGTTCAAAGAACTGTAACTTACTCCTCCTTCCATAAAAGAGCAGTACAACTTGTTGAAGTTCTCTGTATTTGGGCATACGGTTTCTCTCATAGTGAACTTCAGCTTATAATACACACTGGAGTCATCCTCCCTCCTTCTCTAAAGAGGAAAAAAGAACAGTTTCATTACCTTTTATCACATACTATTCTTCAGATGGTATTGGTAACAACATTTTTAATGTAAATACTTTAAAAACTGTTATCATTACTGTTTCCTTTTGATTTAATCAAACTACCTACATACTGTATGCCCTGTCTTTATGGTGTTACAGGCACCACTCACAGAACATTTCCACATAAATATGGACATGAAAAGGCAGTTGAAAAGAAAGCAGAGATGCAAATTCAAGTGTCTACATTCCTTACCTTTACCTTAATTTTTAAAGGAGCAGTAAATGACTTCTGCCCTTTGTGCCGCTTTTTTCCTGATCTATATTTGAGAATACGTCTTTCAATTTTGTACATTTATTATGCTGAATAATGCTACTCAGGCAGAAAAAGAGCCTTTGAAAATCAAGATGATTTACTTATTACATGACTCTTGAAATGAGAGCATTATGTTGAAGCTGGAGGACTCACTGGTTCATGTAGAGCACTCTCTTCCTTGAAAGCATTGAGCTGCTCACTGCCCCTGTTGTAGAACTCTACAGCAGCATACAGGGTATCCTGTGGTGAGAAAACTGCCTCTTCCAGACTCCCACTGACTGCAGCAGCCAGGGAAAGCAGCAGAAGGGATCCAGCAGAAGTCTTCATCCTGTCTGGGACTCCTTTATTAATGGCTGCTGCTAATGAGCAAGTGCAAGGCAGCTGGTCCTTTTAATAATCCTTTGCCTACTGATTGAGCAACTTGCTTCAAAGTTCAGGGGGGGATATTTGTATCTGGAAATCTGAATGTCTGAGGCAGCCACTTTGTGTTATATGTCTTGTTCTGAGACATTTACCATAAAAAATACTAGTATTGGATCAGGCTGGCATATTTGCCCCATTGCATACGTTTGAAGTATGTACTGTATGGAGCAAAATGGTGCTTGTCACACCTCCCAAAATATGAATTCAGCAACCCATTTTTAAATTGATTTTTTCTCCATCTTTGAATCTAATTTACAGTAATACTTTTCAGTGATATTATCAAAGGACAACAGTTCAAATTTTCTATATCTAAAAACATGTAAAATGATTGTACAGAAAAAATACAGAACTGGTTTTGGAACCATTTACAGAACTGACACAATATGAATGCAGTTTTATGTTGCTACTATTTGTTTCATGCAAGACAAGAATGCACTTCCATTTTATGAAAGACACAACTCCTGTCGGATTATACCATACTGTACACTCAGGGAATGCATTCACAGGCACTTGTCAATGTTCTTCCACATGTTCGACAGGGTTCATTATTACAGCAGGGGTATGCTACCCTGACTGGCACTGGAGTAGAATGCAGCTCACAGCTCATAGGCTGTGAAACGTATTCTCAGCTTTAATTTTATATCAAGATCCTCCAATATAGAATTCCACCTGTCTAGGACTAAATTAGTAAAGGTTTCTCCAAAGAGGGAATTTCTTTTATGGAAAGTCACTGCATGGATGGCTATAATTTGTAAACACACCCTGTGTAAGCAGTTGTCTATAATAAATGATATCACAAAGTAGTTACCTCACTTACACCTTATCAGTATTATGCATGGTTCCAGAACAAACATTCTTTCCAAACTTTGTCTGTTGATTTATGTCTAGTCTTTATACACATTCTACCTTGTTTAATCAGTGTAGCACAAATGCAGGTTGAGCTTGATTATTTAGTAACACCAAAGATTAAACGTCTTCTTTCTTTGGTATTTTCTTTTTGTTGGAGAAATAATTCAACGGTGAAGACCAAAGATCTTTTCCCTGCTGTCAAGCATGGTGGTAAGATTATTACTGTTCTGCTTCTCCTCTGCAGGTACTGGGAACCTTGTCACAACTGATGGCAACACAGAAGGAGGAAAGTACTGGGGAAATAAGAGGTAAACCTGCTTCAGCCCTAAAACTGGGACAAAAAAAAACTTTCTGCCAATGATCTAAATGTAAATGTAAAGTAAGAAAAAGAAAGTGAAAGTTGTTAAGTGTCCCTTTCCCTCTCAAAGTCTTGAATTAAATCCCATTGAGCATCTGTGGAAAGTTGAAAACTGTTGTCCATAAGCATTCTCCAAGCTAACTGAGAGAGTCTGAGGAAATCTACCAAGAATGGTCAAATATTTATCAAACCAATGTGTAAAATTCATAAAGCCTTGCTGCTGCAATTGCTGCCACACACTTATTCACTTACGCACTTACAAATACTTCAGCAATCAACATATTTCACTTTTTCTCTTTAGTTTTTGCTGACATTTACTTAACTGATCTTAACTTTAGTAGTATTCAGTGTCAGCATTGAATCGATGAACGAATATTAAACTTAAATAAAATAATGTGTATAATAATAATCCCTTCTCAAAATGGGACCACCGTAGTACGGATCTGCATCTTTTTCAAAGCACTGTATGTCCTTCCTTTACAGAAACACTGCTATTCTCTTCAGTGCTTGTGAACATTTTATATTAAAACACTACTGTACACAAATCATTGAATATCTGTTCATTTTTAACAGGGAGGATGTTTTATATTCAGATAGATTTATTTTACCCTGTATAAGCAGGTAACCTGCTTTTGTTCAGATTCAACTGATAGATGAAACAGAAGTGAGACTTAGGATCACACACAGTAAAAAGAAGAAAAAGAATTGGTTACTTGTGTCACACTTAACAGTGCCAATTCACAAGACACTGAAATATCCACAGTGGCAGTGCAACAAATGAAATCAACACAAGTGAAAAACTGCAACATTATATGTTGCATCCTGCAGCATCTGTCTTTTTCTCTGAGTGGGTATCATCACAGTACTGATCCCAGTGCCTCTTTGATTTGCTGTAGCAAGTTTTCTGGCTGTGATGACAATGAATCAGGGTCCAGCCTCTTGAAGTCTTCGTTGCTGAGCAGACACTCCAAGACATGTGCCACTCGCTGCAGATCAAAGGCTGCGTGGTAAGGACCTAGAGCAGCCAAGGCCTCAGACAGCCTGCTGGAGGAAGAGCTTCCTGCACAGGAGTTGAGGAAGGTGAGACGGTTCTCTGTAATGATCTTCAGGAAGGTGTAGAACTCCCTGTAGTCAATGCCACTGCATGACTTCATGATCACCTGGAACACACACGATCGGTATGTGATTTTTAAAGCAACCCAATGCGTTTGTAGAGACCTGCATTTTCGACAATGTTCTGGTTTAGGGAAAAGCTCGGTCGCTATGCTTTAACATTAAATTAGCTCATGAATTACAAAGTGAAAAGTCCCAGTGAAGAGGAGGCAAACGATTCCACAAAGTAAACTGCAATGGAATCTCTCAGATTTCAAAATTATCTCTCCATATTGCTCCTGTTTGTTTTTTTCTTTTTAAAAAGGAAGGACATTTAACACACCAAAAAAGAACAGCAAATCTTTAAAATCTGAATACAAATAGAATTTTACAATGTGATACAGGAATGGGAAGAATTGAGAGAGACTGTTAATATTATACTTATAAATCACCTAAATCAGGGATTGGCAATTCCATTCATTTTAATTTAAGTAATGGCTGTAAGGTTAAACTGCCCATTGCTTTTGATTCTAATCACTTACTCATTGAAAAACGTTAAATTCAGCCCTGGAGGACTGGAGTTGCTCATCACTGATCTAAAATGATCCTGTCAGCTTAGAAGGAATAACTAGAGATGTGTTGGGAAGAATGTTTCGTGTATCATCAAGCTTTTAACTTTTAATTTTGAGGCTGTCCACAAAACTGATCAAACTTGCTGAACTGTCCTAAACATGTACAACCACTTTTTTTTCTAAAAAAATAGTATATCCACAGAATCGCTACAAAGCACATGTTTAAATATTAATCAAAGTAGCAAATTCAATTATGGCCAACTACTCAATCAAAATGCAAAGTCCTGATGAAACTACACACAATTATTATCAGAATCACAATACAACAAAGTACAGCAAGTACAGGTGCCATGCTAAAGATACAGTCTGACTGAACAACCAGCTTGTTACAAAGTGAAAATCCCAAGGTGCTTAACTATTACAAGTCTTTACTTCTGCAATACAACTTGAAGTTCTCAATGACCTACAAGGGGAATGTGAGAATCCTTGCTTTCTGTCTGAATACCTGGCAGTGCTGGTGCCAATTGTCCATGGTGTTTTTCCACTCTCCAATCTCATTCTGCACAGCACTCAACTCCCCTTGAAGAAACTGCCACATGATGTCCAAGTTACAGCCATTGAGCCAATTGTGATTAATAGAGATGGTGTCCTCCTAATACATGAGAAAAAGACAACACACAGTTTTATAAAACTGCAACTGATAGCCATTCTACTCTTAAGACGTTTTCAGATCTTTTTGTTCAATTAGCCAGATTAAATCACTGTAAAATACTTACAATTTGCATTATTTTTTACCATCACAGAACAACAGACATTAAGGTAGCACCCACAGACAGGTATGTCTTTACGGTTCTTAAAAGATATAATTTGAGTTGGACTTAATTATTAAGACAGTTCCAGTAAAATAAAAACTCAAAGCCATAGACCATGTTAAAACAGAATCTTGAGCCCATTAGGAAAACCAGCAAATGCAGATATGCAAGAGTCCTTGTAACATTGTGTCTTGTCTGTGACTTAGTTAAAACACACAATGATGATTGCTGCCTTGCAGTGCTGGGGCCCTGGGTTCGGTTCTGGCCCTGGACATTGTATGTTCTCCCTGTGTTTTGCATGGGTTTTCCTTTGGGTCAAAAGACACATTAGTAGGTTAATTGGCTTCTGAGAAAACTGGCCTTGGTGTGAGCGTGTGCCTGTTTATGTTTATGTTTGTACTCTATGTGCCCTGTGTTAAACTGGCATCCCGTCCAGAGTGTACTCAGCCTTTCACATTTTGCCTGCCAAGATAGGCTCTCCCTGAATTGGATGAAGCAGTTAGAAAAAACAGAACAATGGACATCATAGGTATTATGTCATATTATATGTGATATAAGACATATAATGTGTTCAAACAAATTAGGTGGCACTTACTAAATTATACACCTGGTGATGCCATCCACTGGGCACAAAGATTACTTCACCCGCTTCCTGGATGATTTCCAGAGGCTTACAGACCTCCTCGTAATGAGGGTATTTCCTCTTGTCCTGGAGTATGGGCGCAGTGATGTCATAAGCAAGCTTGCCATGACAATCTCGAAGATATTCTTCCTGTCCTGGAGGGTACAGAAGCCACTTTTTCCTTCCACACACATTCGCTGACCAGCTGTAGGAGCAAAAGACATCCACGTGGAAGGGGGTCCTGCGAAACACAGTTAAACTATATGACACACACAGAGATTTTCCAGCAGAACGGGAGCTGGAGGCACATGAATATCAAAAATCAAAATAAACAGTGCCATCTAGTGGTAGTGATACTTGGAAATGGATATTACAACAAAGTCTTTTAGGACAAAAACAACTGATACTAATTAAACAACTTTTTTGCCCTAAAAAGGAATGGGAAGTCAATGTCCCTTGCTGGGGAATGATACTAAAGTCACCCAATCAAACCTGACCATGTCACACAGCTTCATCCTATTTGGTACCAAAACAGGAAGAGGTCGAAAGCCAAGGTGGTGACAACATCCCCCTTGTTCCTTTTAAAGCAGACCGCAGTCATCACCAATAGGTCAACAGGAATTAGGAACCATCTGCTACCCAGGTTGAGAGGAAGCTCAAGATCATTGAGGGCCTGGGCTTGGAACAGGAGCAGGTGCTTAGTCCAATACATTGAAATGCAGTGAGCAACAACACCATGTCAAGTATGAAGGATGGCTTGGATTGTACCAATGGACGATCAACACTTTCAGAATTTAAAATGAACTCACCAATTATGCCTAGAACATCCCCTGCCTGACAAGTTGGCATGAGAACCCAACAAGAGAGATCCACAAACTCTGGGGTTTAAAAAGAGCCATAAAAAAGGTCAATAGAAATGTCTGGGGGGGATCATAGGCAGAATGGCCCAAGTAACTGCTGGCTGGATGGTGAGCACCCATCAAAATTCCATCCACAATGGTCATCATGTACACCTTCAATGAAAAGCCTACTTTTCCTCCCCCCCCCAAAAAAAGGCAAACAGAACTGGATCAGGCCAAGATCATAAACAGTGCACCACGTCTCAAAAAACTTCCAACGTGTACAAGGACTTGTCTGCCGTACAAGGAGTTTTCAGAATGTGCAAACCATCACCTCTGAGAAGATTAGTCCCAACAGTCAACCCCACTCAGGGGCCAGACTCACAGCTTGGTGGTAACAGCCATGGCTGCCCATATGCATCTGCATCTCTCAACTTTGAAAACAACCAGCTTGGAGCTGTGTGACACAGAAGAGTCTAACTGGATGGCACTCTGTCTGAAATAGAACTAATGCTGCTTATCTTGAAAGGAAATACAAAATATAAATAATAATAATTCCTTACACTTATATAGTGCTTTTCTGGATTGATAAAGGCCAAGGGGAAATTTAGCCAGCAAACAGGGGAAACACCCCTACTACACTCCAAGACACATTTAACCCTTCTAAAGTATCAAGAAAGAGTTGGTGACATTCGTCATGCTTTAATAGGTTGAAGAAATGAAATGAAACAATCCTTTAAATTGAAAGAATTCCATACCATGAGCCTTCAGGTCCCATGTAGACAAAGCGGTAATCATCCACTTCAATGGCATCCCAGTACTCATTCAGCCAGTCTGAGGTGGCAAACATTGGAGTGCTATAAACATTATGCTCAGGAAACTCCCTGTCATAAATTTCACAACATTAGAAATCATTATTTTGTTATGACCTAGAATATGCTATTCACATGTGGCCCCTAAGTTTCATTTCACGCAGAACTTTGGCCACTACTTCACTATGAACCACGACTTCATCACATTGATCTGGCAAATGATCATTTAGGGAAATTAGGACTTGAGTGTTACAATTCTCTAACGAAGTGAACTGGAAGGGTCAAAGGTTTAGTAGAGCTGACAATGTATTTCATAATTCATTAAACTGATACTGTAATTATACAATTCCTAGCAATGGTTTAAAACAGTTCATCACAAAGTATCCTAAACAGCTTTATATACAGTACTATGTTGAAACAATGTGTTCATAATGTCTTAAACATTATAATACAACATAACTTCTATATTTGTTCCAAATGCTGAAAAATCTGAGTTCTCTTACAAACTGGTGTTATTCTAAAATGTTAAAGGATGTATGCACAAAAAATAAAAAAATGGCATTCTGTACTTTTGCCTCTTATTCATCTTTTCATATCAAATCTGAATTGCTTGAGTATGCAGCAAAAATTGCAGTTTTGACTTCACTGTCCCAATACTTAAGGAAGACACTGCAGCTGCAGAAGCCAGACTCAAATCCAGATGCAAACATATTTTAGATAACAGACTAATTCAAAATTATATTTAATGAAACACTGTCTAGTGTCATGGTTCACAAATGCCATGCACATCATTAAATTGCATTAAATGAATCTTCAGAGTTGCAGTACCATAAGAGCAGCCTGCTGTGTGAGTAAAGAAGTGGGAACTACCACAAAACTCAGGGAACATGCAAAATCATGATTTTACCTGTCCATATGCCAATCCTTGAGGTATAGGCATCCCTTGTTAGATGAGTGTCCGTTTTGAATGTATTCTTTCCAATAGGCAACATAGTCTTTAAAGGGCATAATCTGTTTTGGATTGGCATTGTATTCCTTCACATTGCAATTTGCCACAGGAACCAGAGCATCTCCTAAAATACAAAGTGGACATTGATATAAAGATAAATTAAATCTAGCCAGCTAAAGTAAAGTAAAACATTTCTTTTCAGGCTTTTCCTAATAGTTACCTTAGAATGGTAATGACCTATGATTCCTACTACACAGAAAGTCAAGCTGAACCATTAGATATCAGTGCACATTTTCCATTCACATTTATTTTATTTAACAGTGCCTTGCAAAAATATTCAACCCTTCTAATGATGTAACAAAACAATTTCCAATTTTTATCGTCTAATGAACTAATTAATTAACTTTTAAAAGATGAATATTATGATTAAAACAAACCTTTATGCTTAAATATGTTAAATGTAAGCAAAAACTGAAAATAAAAATCAAAATGTAAAATGTGTTGATTGCATAATAATTTATCCCCTTTGCTATAGTAACTGCTAGGGTAGTAATAGGGCATTCAGGTGAATGATTGTATTGGTAGACGGGATAACAGAAAACTTGTCATTTCCCTTGGAAATGCTTCAAAATTCATCCTTGACCATTTGACTCCTTGAGCAACACCTGTGTAAGATGTTACACATCACCTGTGTAAGATGATGTTTGAAGACCTCATTGTTAAAGATCAGACCGATGGAAGGAAACACATTGTCTGTTTCTAGAGATGCTTACTGAGGACCCAGACATAACTTCACAACTGGGACAACGAGACAAAACAGAGAAACAGGATGTATGCTCAGTCATCAATGGGCAAGACCATAGAACCAATTTTCTGGGACTCTATGTTAAAGAAAACTAATAGGGGTAAATCACAAGTCAAAATCTGAGGAAAAAAATACAGTACAGTAAGTCCCATATTGCTCCACCAACATTCTTGAATATACAGTATTTGACTTCTTGCAACTAAATGACCTTCCCTACTGTTAAGTGTTAAACCTGAATGACTATTATCTATTTTCTAAGTTACAGGCTCACTTCTGTTGTGAGTGAGCAGATAATGAAAGGCATCCACTGAGGTCTGTCTAGAGGTTCATCCTTAAGCATTATTTCTGTTGGTATGAAAAAGAACTGACCCTATGGCTTTAACTCAAGGGGAACTGTAATGCTTTAAAGTCATTGAGGACAGAACTACAGGTACAGTATATGTACTGTACATTATTTACCTTAGATCAAGCCACAGACCTGCCTTCCATAAATTACATTAATTCGTTAAGAATGACAAACAAACACACTATAACTAAAGAGCACATTATTGCTCTAGTTCAACAGATGTTGTTGAAATAGAATCATAAAGTAGAAAATAAAACTCTTTACCATAGTCCTGCAGCAGTCGTTGGAAATTTGGTTTTCCTTCTTCAGTGACCCAGTGTTTCCTACAGCTCCAGTCTTCCGTAAATTTTGTCGAAAACACACAAGGATGGTTTGGAAGCAAGTAATTTTTAAAAAACTTGGAATAGCTAAAATCCCTTTTTACTATATAGTCGACAAAGTGAGAGGAAAAGAACTGCTCGTATGATTTTCTGGAGATCTTACTTATACTTGAACACGACTGAAAGGTTTCCCTATCCATTTCTGTTTTTATTTGTAGAACTAATTCACGTTCTGCTTTACAATGTAAAATGGTAGTAAATTAAATTCATTAGACGTGTAAACGACCTTTTCATTTTCATTCAAAACCAAACGCTCTCTTGTGCATGACTCCATGTTCATAAAACACAGCACACACGTTAATGATTAATGGTATTAGTTACGACGTTTATGACAAGAATAAGTTATCATAATATTAGCATCGAAGACAAGCTGTATATTATTTCGAAAATTAAAAGTGCACGAATTATTTGTATGCACTTTTTAAAAGCTTAAAAATCAAACTCGCCACACTGGATCACGTTGTAAATATAAATTCTATATTTATCTTATATCAGGCTATTATTATAAAGTATTCTTGTTCCACAAATCATAAAATAAAATCGCATTGTACAGAAAGCGCTCTTATTCAGAATTGTAAAATGTGTTGCAAAAATTATTACTGACTCTCCAAACGTGGTCTCTTACGAACTCCATTTTTCTGTTACACTTCGATATCTGCAAGACTACTGTGGATCTCCTACGTAAAAGGGGAAGGATCAAAGCGTTACACCAAATATATTAAGGTTATATTTTTTTAGGAAGATCATTTGTGTTTCATACTTACTTGTGCACCTTATTTTTCTATCCTATTTTATATTTTTTTTCTGTGTCATTTTTATAATTCTAGAAGCGAAGTAAAACAACACATCAATAAACACATCGCAGTTAGAGTTTCAGTTGGACAGTCGGACTGTAAATATTGTGACACACTGTTGACACTGGACTGAAAAAGGAAAACAGGAGCTTTCGACTACTCTTATTGATTGAAAGAGATGAAAGATAAAAACAAAAACGGATTCGTTAAAATGGTTAACTGAAAGAAATTCGTCTTTGTCTTCTCGGCAATACGGATATTAGAAAGATGTAGCTATTATAATATAATAAAATATAATATTGATAGCTGTACGTTGTATTAGTTTTCAAAATATGACAAAATTCACGTATAATGCGGCTAACAATGGAAATATTGCAAAGTCGGAAGTAGCAATTATTTGGGTATGTAATCAATCAGGTTCTTAAAGTACTTTACATTAAATACCTGATTTTATATTTTTATAGTTTCGAGTTAATTTGATAAACATTCTAACATTTAAATACAAAACATTGAAGGAATTCACGGTTGAAAAAATAAACGATTTTATCTATTAGACTGTATCAGTTTTGGTGTTTTTTTCGTTATTAAAGGGGGTCACAGGTTTGAGGCGAGAAGCTCAAAGGGCGTTTAGGATGACGTGCTCCTTTGAGTAACGTTCACTGAACGTCTAATTCATGTAGACCGACATATTCTATTAATTTGAAATAAAATACGATACATAAGGAATCCCGTTTAGCAAACGTGTTCGGTTACGAATCAAGCAAATAACTGTTAAAGCAATATTACGTTAAACTATCAGTTGGCATATTGTTCAGGGGATTCAGTATAAATAGTCCCAACAAAGATGAAGAATGAGAACATCTTAGGTTAAGAATTTTGAATTGCAAAACTACACTGTCGGACAACTTTTTCACCTTCTGCATTCAGGTATAGTCTGTCGTATTTGGCACAGATTTCCTTCATTTGTTTATGAACTTTTAAATGCATGAGCTCCTTGGATTTTAATGATACAATATTTTATTTCCAACTTCTGTCGTGATCTAGATTCCTGCCTTGGAAACACATGGGTGATGTTTGCTTTTTTATTTACCAAAACAACACATACAGTATGCAAAAACAAATGGCAGGTAATCGGGGGCAGTGTTGTGGAAGAGTTCAAAAAGTCAAGGCAGGTGTGCCATTTGAAACATCACAGACAGGTACATATGCCGCTCCATATTACCATGTTTTGTCACAGTACTTGTATTTCTACAAATGCTCTACACATTTTGTGCATTATTATCAATATGCTATGTAAAGTAAATACTGTTGAAATACTGTATATAGAAATCCTGAGGCCTTTTACACTAGGAGATATCTACAAAGTGTTTTCTTGGTTCTTATGAAAAGACCTATCATAAGATATTAAGGTGTGGTTTTATGACAGAGAGGTAGAGTTTTAATTTGTGGGGGGTGGCAACAATGTAAAAAAAACATCTCCAGTAACTACACAGTCTTCATCTTTATTTTTGCAGTTGCAGTAGTTAGAAAACTGGGCAAACTGACTCTGAGGCTTTGAAGATGAACAGGGACGTCCCCATTCATAGCTGGCCGGGCTCCTACTACATTAATAGCGAGAAACGCTGGGTCACTGGTACTCTGTCTCTGACCCGCTTATCTATGAGGTTCACAGCCAGCAAGGGAGAGGAAACTGTGGCCAGCATCAAGCTTTCTCGTATTGTAGAGATCAAGAAGGAGTCCTCCAGCTTTATTTTCAGTGCTCTTACCATTCTGGAAGAAGGGAACATAAAGCACTGGTTCAGCTCTCTGCAGCCCAACCGGGCGGTTGTGTACAATGTGCTAGAGCACTTCTGGAGGGAGGAGCTGTTGTCATCTGATGGTGCCACTGGAGCCACAGCCTCAGAACCACAAATGAGCAAGGGGAAGGAACTGATAGGCCTGGTATCTGGTAGTCAGAAGAGGCTGGAGGATACTGGGACAGTACTTCACCACCAGGGGGAGCAATTCGACAACATCATGCTGGGGTTGGACAAGATCGAGTCGGATTTAGACGTAGCAGACAAGTATGTAAAACAAGAGAATGCCTCTTACTGCATGCACACTCGCACTGTGTGACACAGAACTTTTGTATAAAACTGGATCCTTATTTTATACATGAAGCGATATTTGGGATAAATATTTGTTGGTGAGGCATTGGGACTGGCACATACACTGGCTTTTAATGTAGGTTAGAGATTGGAAAACTATATGGAATGGAATGATCTTGGTAACAGAGCAGTCCTGATACTCTTAGTGCAGATGTTATGAAGGTGTGTAAGTCCTACGGTTTTGGATGTGGATACTTACAAAATACTTGTTTCTAAATGTAAAAAGTAATGTGTCTAAAATATGGATCCTTCATTACAAAACATCAACACAGCAGGCTGTACTTGTAAGCAAGTATTTTTCTTCTGTTTCACCATTTATCTTTGTTATACCTATTATGTTTGGAATAACCAGTTGTATGCATTTCATGTCTCAGCTTGTGGGTACAAACCATGTAGCCACATGCAGGGTAGAATGAGGCAATGCAAGCCAAATTCTCAGGTTTGCCCACCTTCAAGTGATTTGTCTGTTAACATGACGCAGGCAGCTCAGCCCTGTACTTCCCCTGTCATTCTATTGCTGAGAGTAGAGCAAGCCCTGGCCAGCTGATCCCACCCTACCCTCAGAAGTTCCAGTCATAGTCAGCCAGTGGCATGATGCTGGCTTGAACCTGTGGTTATAGAACTCATTTTATACTCTGATTATTGAACTCAAACGTCAGCAAAGGCCTGTCATTGGTTGAGCCATTCAGGGAGCTCCTGTAAGCTATTGCAGGAAGTTGTTGTTTACTGATCGTATGTCAGATGCTTTGGGATGACCAAGTGTACTCACTATACCCTCTGAATATGCTTTTTTCTTAACGTTTATATTGTTATTTCTAAAATGATGGATTTCATTTACTAGCCCTTCTGGCATTAGACACAAATACTGCAAAGTTCAAAATTCAAAGACTTTAAAAAAAATAAAATTACAGTAATCAGACATATGCAAATAGAAAATGTTTTTTTCTGGAATCATACATTGTAATATGTATGTAACTTGTAATACTATGATTGGAGTTATTTCTTTGTGAAGTTGCCTCTTGCTTTCGTGTCAGTTACTTTAATCCATTAAATTAAACTTTGAAAATCTGCAGAAATTCAAAAGACTGGTAAAAATGTTTTATAACACCAACGAAGTGGAGTACAGTATTTCCCTTCTCTAAGTGACCCGAAAATAAATTGAGAGTGCACATTTTTGGTAGATTGGAAACACTTGTACACTCAAGATTTCCAGCTAAAAATAATACGTTTTAAAGAGGATTTAGAGAATTCCCTTTAGATACATATTTATTATTTAAATGCCTCTGTATTATCATTCCTTAATAAAAAGGGGTTTGCCAGAAATCTTGAGTGCTTGACTGCTTTCAGTCTGCCATATTTTTTTCCTCAGGTTTGTGCCTCAGACAAAACAGACTTTTCTGAAAGACTTTTGGATTAAAGAGCTAGGACTCTGGATTGCACACAGGTGCGTAGTTGTGCCTCAAGAGCCCTCATTGCTTTGTTCGACTAATCTCTTTTCCTCTGCCCCAATTCCTCAGGCTGCTTTCAGAACTGGAATCCCCACCTTGGTGGCCCTTTAGTAAATTGCCCTGGAGAAGCCATCAGGAAGCAAAATGCAAACAGAGAAACAAATCCCAGAGCCCTGCATCTGCATCTACCACAAGAGGTCATGGAAAGCAGGGGGTGATAACTAACATTCCAGTGATTTATTCCAAAGGAGGTGACACCAACCTCAAGCCGGGCAAATTTACAGTGCAAGTGTCAGCTCTAGAGGTTTGTGATGGCGACTCCCGGCTGATGCACAGGTTCGAGAGGGAGGATGTAGATGACATCCGAGTTCACAGCCCTTATGAACTAAGCATCCGGCAGCGCTTCATTGGCAAACCAGACATCAGCTACAAACTCCTTTCGGCCAAAATGCCCGAAGCTCTGTCAGTGCTGGAGATGCAGTACAAGAAAAAAATTGAGTTCATGCCGGACTATGCAGAATTTATGACAATGCCTCCATCACCCACATCTGATTCGGAAAACTGTATATGGAATGCAGGTGATTATTTGGATTTTTTTTCCATTAAAAAATTAATTTCCCAATTCAGATAGAGGAGCATGTGTAACAGAGCAGTTTATAATATCATCAAGGCAAGTAACTTTTTAAAAATGAAGCTGTAAAATGAAGAAAAACAAGTGCCCAAAGGATAATATATGACAAAGTTTCATGTACTTTGCAGAAACACAAAACAAAATATTAAGCGTAAAAACATGGTTGTTAACTACGTGTTAGTGCAACTACAGATGCTTTTAAGACGGTGAAAAGCTGACACACTTCAGTACAGTAATGTGTGAGAGAAAATAAAAGGAGGGGCTCTGCATTGTATATTAAAGTAAAATACCAGTATACCTAGATCACATGAAGTAACATTTAGAAGCAACAACATTTATTAATTCTGGTTAATTCAACATTCATTAATTCATTTATTAATGTTTTGTTCTTATACAGCATTATATGGAGTTAGTTTTGTAGGTAGTAATTACTTCCCTCTCTTTATAGTGTATGTTTAATCTGATGTTTCTAGAACTGCTCAACAATTTAAAAGCAAAATTATTTTCAAAGTGTACACTTTACAAAATGTAAAGTGCTATCATAGCATTTATCAACCCTACCCCCTCACTAGTCAGTAGCACACTATTGTGTATGGTGTATGTTGCAATGGGCATGTTCAGGTTTGGCCGAGAAATTCTGAATTGGATTTTTCCATTCCTGTAACCCCATCACTAGAATCCTAAGTGGTATGTGTTTCTGTGTCACTTTATTTTATTAGCTGTCTTTCTGCTGTTCTGTAGGTTAGGCTTAGGCTGACAAAGACTGTGAGAATGTGAGACTGTGAGAAGTGACAAAGACTGTGAGAATGTAGCACAATATTACATTAAATTAAAAACTGCCTAAGAGGCAAGGGTTTTCCCAAACCCTGTCCTGAAAGACTGCAGTCCTGTAGGTTTTCATGACAGCACAAATCTTAATGATCTAATTGAACTGATTTTTAGCTTAATCAGAGCAATTTTACAGATTTCCTCAGTTCTTATAGCATTGCTTACTTGAAGAGATTTATAAAACCACCAGTAATGCTTCATTCCAGGATTGGAGTCAGGAACCACTGGTTTGCATGTTACTTATTCCACTGGGATAGACACTGGGACCTAGTAAGACTAGCATAGTGACAACTGACCATATTTGCAAGCTCACTGCAGAGAGCTGTGTCTAAACAAGAAAAGGCGAATACAAAACACGGGTCAAGTCTGACACATTTGCAGAATCCAGGATTTCAATTTTATTTCTCAGTGAAAATGATGACTTAACAGTACTCGCCATTTTAAAATGAAATCTCCATTGTCAGTTTCTGTACAGTATACTCTATGTGGTGATGCTGTGTGGTAGCAAACATTTTTTTTTTATTGCAAAGGAACAAGTAATAGGTTTATTCCATGCTGAAAAAAAGAAGAAAGTAAACACAACGTTTCGGCCGTGGAGCCTTCTTCAGGTGTGAGGTGCTCACACGTTGTGTTTTCTTTCTTCTTTTTTTCAGCATGGAATAAACCTATTACCTGTTCCTTTGCAGCCTACGCATGCTGACACAGCTACCCACCTGAACTATTTTTTATTTACAATTTCAATAAACTATTTGAAAACTTGAGTTAGGTTACTCTAAAGACATAAAAGGGAGGTTACAAATTAGAGGAGGTGATATGGTCAACCTGGCACAAATATTTAGAGCTTTGCATTTAAAAATGTTTATTTAGTTCAACACAGAATTTAAGAGGTTTAAGATACTGTAGTTGGAAAATATACTCTTAAGTGAGAAAGAAATGAAAGGCAGGACCTTACAGTACTGTGTACCGTATGTGATCACAGATACACCTGTCGTCTGCAAGTGCACCAGGTGATGGCACTGCAGAGCTACAGTATGTGAAATATAGCTGTATAAAAACTAAAGTAAAATAAAGCTGCATAACATGTTATTCAGCTTTATCAAAGTCATGTTGTTGTTTATTTCCATGTGTAGGATCCTGCCATTAATTGAAAGTGTAGTGAGCTTCAGGTGTATAAATTGTCCCACAGAAGTAAAGATTCTTGTATCTTTCCTATGTAGTGAATGTTAAGTATCTTATTACATTTCCTGTGGTGTTTCACAGAGTAATTTCATTGGGCGTGGAAGTATGCTGTGCAATCTGCCCCTTTGCTTCTCCAAATTCCTTAGCACACATGTTGCACCATTTTTAAATCTATGGAGGATTTTATGTTTTGTTAAGCTTGTGAATTTGGTCGTCAGCTTAAAATAGGTGCCTCTACCTATTAATAGGTGCATATAACGTACTGCCACCTAATGATTGTCAAGTTCAGAATTATACTGTAGCTGCATTACTTCGAGTGCTCTTTTAGGCTAATGTTTCACAGTACATCTAAACTGATATGAACATCTAAACGCCAATAGCCATATCACCCTGCAGCTCACAATTGATAACCCACTGAAGCTTAGCAGGTGTGAGCCTGGTCAGTACCTGGATGGGAGACCTCCTGGGAAAAACTAAGGTTGCTGCTGGAAGAGGTGTTAGTGGGGCCAGCAGGGGGTGCTCACCCTGCGGTCCATGTGGGTCCTAATGCCCCAGTATAGTGATGGGGACACTATTCTGTAAACAGGCGCCATCCTCCGGATGAGACGTAAAACCGAGGACCTGACACTTTGTGGTCATAAAAATCGCAGAGCTTTTCTCGAAAGAGTAGGGGTGTAACCCCGGTGTCCTGGCCACATTTCCCATTGGCCCTTACCAATCCTGGCCTCCTAATAATCCCCATCTATGAATTGGCTTCAATACTCTGCTCTCCTGCCCACTGATAGCTGATTTGTGGTGAGCGTTCTGGTGCACTATCGCATCATCCAGGTGGATGCTACACATTGGTGGTGGTTGAGCAGAGTCCCCATTACCTGTAAAGTGCTTTCAGTGGAGTGTCCAGAAAAGTGTATATAAGTGTAATTAATTAATTAAACTATATAGGCTTTGTACCATAATAAAAATTATTTAATACCAAAAGTAATGACAAAGTTTAATTAAACTATTCTGTGAAAAAGACTAAAACTAGAAATAGAAATAAAAATACATTCCATATACATTATCTGTATTGTATCCAGACTGAATTACAGGAAATCATATTCAAAGCAGATTGAAAAAGGCTTGGGATAGAGAAACTGTAATTTACAGTTTCATGAATAGTCCATTGTTAGGATCTTATTTGCTAATTCAATTAACAATACCCATCTGAGAACTGTGGCCAAAGGAATGATCATTTTCAAAGATCAAACGTGCTTCTAAGCCTGCATTTGCTCTCTGTTTTTTAAAAATAATATTACTGAATATTACTTGGTACTGAATTTCTTGTTATTCTTCTTATATGACTCTGCACTACATTTACCAATGTGAAAGGAATTCTAAAAACAAATTGAAAAACTAATTCTGAAATCTTTTTCTCCTTTAGCCACTGGATTCATTGACCGAATAAGAATGAAGGAGCTCCCACCAGGTGAGCTGGTACAGTTGCAGGTTCAGGCCCAGCAGTCACCTGTCTCAGAGTCTGAAGCCCAGGAGCTTAAACAGGTAAAGGCAGTCTGTCTGAACCCCGGCCATAAATACTGTATATTTCCCCAGGAAATGTGTGACGTAACTGCTATGCCTCATTTGTGTCAGGAGGCAGTTGTTTCTTTTCTTGAATGGCACACTGCGCGTAGGTCCTTTCTCTTTGTAAAAGGTGTTCAAAGGTGTAATCTACACAATTATAAATTACATTCAAAGGTAACAGACTTTAATTTAGTTCAGGTGAAGAAGGCTCCACAGCCGAAACATTGTGTTTTCTTCCTTCTCATTTCAGCATGGAATAAACCTATTACTTGTTCCTTTGCAGACTTTTACTTAGTCCTCTCTGGTGAAAATTACTCCAGACCAAAATCGGGCACATTGGATATCACAATAAATTATTTTATATATTGGGTGTCGATTATTGTTTCCGAGAAGGCAATCAACAAAAGAGCACTTTATAAACAACAACAACAGCAATAATAGCTTGGTACAGTAAATTAAATTGCTGAGTTCTGAATAAACACTTTCTGTTGAGAGAAATGGGTTCTCCGCTCCAGGCCCCTTCCTGTCTTAAAGTTAGCACAACCTAGACAGAGGGATCCCCTGTGCAGAACAGAGAGGAGTCTGGCACAGAGTAAGGTTCTTCTGTTCTGTTTTAAAGCTTTCCTCGGTGTGTAGTGCTGTCATGGAAGGCAAGAATCCTGGAATTCTTAAGCCAGATTTCCTCCTGTCCTCCAAGTGCAGACAGCAGATACTTATTGGCTACAGCAGTGCTAATTTCTTCCATAACATATGTCAGTGTACCGCAGGTTGTTCTGGGGTCTCAAAAGTGAGCTGCTGCTTTAGTAAGCTTTTAAAAAATTATTTGGACAAAATCCTTAGGATGAAAAAGAGAAGAAGAAGTCGCATATCTTCTACAATTGATCAGAATGCATTCTGACCCATTTTTTATCTTATCTGAAATGACAAACTCTTCTTTTTAAATTTTCTAGCATTAGTATGGTGCTACTATATAGAGACTAGTCGTAAACTTCTGTGCTGACAGTACAGCACAGCAAGTTTGGACTGTCCCTGTTGACTAGTATCTGGTATTTCACTAAACTGTAAACAGATGTTGCATTAAGATGGAAAAGGTCTAAATTTTGCTGCAACAGCAGTAGTTTCTTAGGTGAGGGGGGAAATGAAAATGCTTTTGACATATTTTTTTCCAAGTCTCCTGGGTTATATATTTATTTCAGACAAAGAATCCCACTTTTAGTCACTGTCTGCTGGCATCTTTGCTGATTTAAGAATCATCCCAAAGCAATTGGGCCAAGCCTTGATTAATAATGTTTTCGTGGATGGAAAATAAAATTTCAGAAAAATACATTGACTTAAGTGTTGTTGAGTCCATTAGACTTCTGCAGACTGGCAAACCAAAAGTGGGCGTTACAGCCACAAACCCATATATCACAGAATTAAACTGCACAAGGCATCAAAAAGAGCTTTAATGAATATTCTGTTCTATTTTTAGAATATTAATATAATGTCTGCTGGTTGTTTGAATTAAAATGTTAAGTCCATTTACATACTGTAGATTGTCACTGTGTATGTTTAGTTTCTATCTGTTTTGTTTCAATACAGGAAATTTAAGGCATATGAGAAAAAGCCTTAGTTTTTAATTCAAATAGTTCTTTAAAACAGTTTCTACAATCGTACTAAAGAGGTTTCTGTAGTACGTTTGCTGTCTTACTGGTTTGCTCTTATATAGGCTCGAGGAAAGATTATCATTATTATTATTTGATGCTATACTGTATATTTATTCATAGATGAACTGATAAATATGCTAGACAGCTATTATAATGTAATGCTTCACCTAATAGAATATTTATCATATTGATTTTTATACTTATTGGCATTACATATACAGCAAAATCGATTAGCTCCTATACTTATTTGAAAGGTTTTAAACACCTCTCAGTGTATGTAAATGCTACTGGGGTTTAGTGTAGTGTCTATAAATGAAATACCTTTGTAGTTTTGAAGCACGTATTTCTGAAATATGGAGACCAGTGGTGTTTATAGTAAAATTTAACATTTTTCTTTTAAGACTCTAAACAGGATAGCACATAATTGTATCTGTGAGGCTCCTTTACCAAATACAGGTATCTCAAAGTGGAGCCTTCATCTCTTTACTCTGGGTCTATATCTAAACACTGTGGTTTCAGAAGCAGAGCTTTTTCTTGATGAATGACTTTCTAAAGGTGATAAGGTAGCGTGACACTGAACATTCAAATTTAACTGAAAAAAATTTTTTTTTACTATCCATATTTAGAAGCACCTCAGCTGGATCCTACGACTTAGGTGCAGTAAAGATGGAGTTCTGTGTTTCTACCACATTTTCTGCAGGTGCAGCACATTAAAATTTAGTTACTGAATGCAGAGTAGGTAACTAAATTTTAATGTAAATTTATGAGGTCTGAACAAGTTTTATTTAGTTACACTAGGGTACATGCAAGATCATACAGAGTTCCAATTCCCTGATAATTCAATTATTAAGTAAACCTCTTAGACTCATATGCATAGCAATTGTACAGTTACTATCAAAAGTAACTGATTGCAAAAGTATTCACATCAATTGTCCTTAGAAGTTGCTTGATTCGTTGAATGGGGTCCACCTGTTCAATTAATGTGTTTCACTTGAGTGCAGGTTAAATACACCTCTCTGTAGGAGTTTCAAAAGTTGATTAGTACAATTCCTAACAAAAAGTACATCATGAAGATAAGGGAACATTCAAAGCAACTCCAGGAGGTTATGGAAAAGCACCATTCAGGAGAAGGGTATGTTATGCTGTGGTCTCTGAGGTTGAAGGGCCATGGCAATTGACAATCCAAGATCCAAGATCCATGGTCCGCAGAGGATCCTTGTGAGCCTTTGGGAAGGCTTGCTAGGACCAAGGCTTTAATGAGAGATGATGAAGTAATTATGCATGCTGATTGAAATGAAGCTGTCTGAATAATAACTGAGCAGGAATGAGGATGCCTTGACATAGCAGAGAAGCTGGCTTGAGTGAAGCTGTCTTAATAATGCAAAGGCTGCCAGTGGACCAAGACTGTCTTGAAACTGCAGCGGAGAAGCCTGGGGTACCTTTTAAGGTGAAAAAGAAAAAGGGTTTAAGAATGATGAGTCAAGAAAAAAGTAGTGAGGGCAGAATGACCCCTCTGATTCAGTGCTTGTGGTTAAAGGGAAAAACTGGGTGTTTGTCAGGTGAGTGTTTCAGTACTGAGAAGCTTAGCACAGAGGGTTTAGATCAATGTCGGGGCACTGAATAAACGGGGGAAAAAGCCTTAAGTAGTCTGCTGGAGAGTCCACCCGATTGAAAAATTAGTGGTCTTTAGGAGCTGCGTCATGAGTGAGTTTGCGCAGGGTGGAAGCAGGCTGAGAGCACGTGTGAATGTGCTGGTTGAACGGGGAAACATCAGGCTTTAAGCCATTCCCAGCCCGGGTGTAACAGGGTATAAGAAAATTTCCAGGACATTCAATATCCTCCAAAGCACAGTAAAGTCCATCATAAAGAACTGTGAATTTATGCAGATCAGGGCATCCTCATAAACTGAGGATTTGAGCGAAAGGTGCACTAGCCAGGGAGGCCACCAAGAGGCCTATGACAACCCTTAAGACAAATTTAGACAAACTCTAAATCTCGGCTGAGATTGGTGAAACCGTGCATATGACAACAATTCCCCAGGTGCTTTACAAATCTGGATTTCATGGGAGAGTGGCAAAACAAAAGCCATTGTTGAGAAACACATCAGATCTTGATTTCAGTTTGCCAGAAGGGAGACTGTGAGACAGAGCAGACAAAGATTCTATGGTCTAATGAGACCATATGAGGATGTTTTGCTTCATCAGGGCCTTGTGAAGATAGATTGCAAAATGGATGCAGCAAAGTACAGAGAAATCCTGGAGAAAAACCCGCTGCACTCTGCAAGAGACCTGGGACTTGGAGAAGATTCATCTTCCAGCAACATATAGCTAAAGCCAGATTGGAGTCAGTGTTCACAAGTAGTCCCGTCATAGCCAGGACTTCAGTCCAATCAAGAATCTGTGGTAGGAGTTGATAATTGCTGTTCATCAACGGTTCCCATCCAACTTCAGGATGCTTGTGTAATTTTGCAAAGAATAGGCAAATATTGCAGTGTCCAGAAGTGCAGAGCTTATTCAAGTAGACTCCTAGCAATAATTTCTACAACAGGTGTCTACTGTTGAATACTTATACTAAAGTGAATACTTATGCAATCTGTTATTTTCTGTTTTATACATATCTATAATTTATTTAGGAGGATCTACTGTATATAATTTTGTTTTCACATTGACATGTGTTTTGATCAGCAACAAAAAAATGCAGTTAAATTCATTATGATTCCATATTATAACACATTAAAATGTGAAAAAGTCCAAAGTGGGTGAATACATTTGATAGCTACTGTAATGAGGTGTCTCTAGGATTGTATTCATCCCTTATTACTGAGCTGCCTTCTGTCTGTTCACATTTTCAAAATCTTTATGCATGAGAAAAAGATAAATGCTTGATTAGATTAAGTTATTCTTTATTTATCACCCTCTCCCAAATTGAATTTCTCTAACATGCACACAAATCATTAACAAATGCATCATATATCAAAAAATATATTATTATATTTATATAATAAATTATGAAAAACAGAAACAGTAATGGAAAGCAATGAAAAACAGTGGATTACTTTTTATTTACCTTAATTAATTAGGCAATTATTAATTAAAACATAAGAGTTGTCATCCTTTATTCATTCTGGAGTATAATCATTTTCAGTTGTTATGCTTAAAAACAGTTTCTACACGCACAAAATCATACAGCTGTTTTTTATTTAAAAAAAAACGTTACCATTAATAAACAAACCAAAAGAAAAGTTTGATTGTTGTTTGACAGTTTATTATATCTTGAAATAATGAAGACAATCAAAATCATAATTGGCAACAGAAATTAACTGAAATGTGGCTT